TTGCACTAGAGTCTGCCAACCACATTTCTTCTTTCTTGACTCTCTTCCTGTTGGTAATGCTTCCAGGCTAAGGGTTAGCAGGTCACATTTCCAGCATTGCTTACTATTCAAGAATATTACAACTATAACTGTTGCAAATTTATAAACATATTTTTCAAACAGGCTTTTAAAAATTATTGATTCCACTTCCCTTTTAAATGAACTACAAAACTCCATTCTATACTGCTTGTAAGTCAAAGGTCAGCACTGCTGGTGAATTACCTGCATTAAAATACAAGTGTATAATTAATAAATACCATACTAAACCATAATTTGTAATAAAAAAATATAACGACAGCGTAGATCTCCAGTCAGTAATTTCCCAATATTCACGGCACTGTTGGTGTTTCGTGGAGTTTCTATATTATATCCTGGGATGGGACTGAAATGATGGGAGGTTCTATTGGCGTGCTAGTATGCTTTTCAAAGATAGTAAATGATAGCTTCCTCCCATAGGAATTCAGTGCATGACTGAAAGTAAATTGATTAAGATTATGGGTTGAATTTTACTTTTTTTTTGGCAAAGTCAAAGTGGCAGCGAGTTGTCTTACCATATCTCAAACTGATTTTATTGATTACCTAACAAAAAACCGAAAGAAACGTGAATGCTGTAAATCAGAAACAAAAACAGAAATTGCTGGAAAAGCTCAGCAGGTCTTATCTCTCTTCACAGATGCTGCCAGAGCTGCTGAGTTTTTCCAGCAATTTCTGTTTTTGTTTTATTAATTACCTAACACGCTCCTATAGCATCTCTCACATCTGATTTCAATGCCAGCTTACCACACATTGTACCCCAAACAACTTGCCACCCAGAGGATATTCCAGGATTCACCAGCATTCCTTGCACCCACTCCAACATTAAAATCCTGTTGTGCCCCCAGGCAAGAACCAGCAGTACGGAGCTGACCAGCATGATTCCTGATGTTTGGCAGGCAGGAGGAAACGGGTGTTCCAATGTGTTAGTAGGGACCTGGGCATCCTGCAGGGCCAGCAGGACTCATTCATCCTACCCCAGGAACAGGTCTGAAGGCCACAATACCAGACCATGCCAGTGTAGCCCAGGGTTAATGCCCAGCACAATGCAGTCAGAGCTGTATGGAGGAATGCACAGTAATATAGGAAGAAAGTCAATGAGATTCTCCATTTCACCAGCATAAGTGTCACCATTTTCTCTCTGATATTCACTCTAATTCATAGAATCCCTACAGTGCGGAAACAGGCCATTCAGGCCATCAAGTCCATACTGATCCTCCAAAGAGCATCCCACCAGACCCACCACCCCTACCCTATCCCTGTAACCCTTAACTTCCCTGTAGACTATGGGCAATTTAGCAAGGACAATCCACCTAACCCTCACATTTTTGGACTGTGGGGGGTGGGGGAGTAGAAAAGTGAAGCAACTAGAGGAAGCCCACGCAGACACGGGGAGAATGTGAAAACTCCACACAGACAGTCGCCCGAGGCTGGAATCAAACCCGGGTCCCTAGCGCTGTATGCGGCAGCAGTGCTAACCACCCCAATGCCCAGCCCCACTAACCCTGCATGCCCTCTGCACTGCCTACTCACTTGCTCAGGGCACCTTCCCACCTGCACCAAAAGTAATAACTGTGCCACACACTCTCATCTTCCTTAATATCTACCTCTTTGTCAGTTAAGAGGAAAATAGTCTCAATAAGGCAGAAAGACTCACAATTGTATAATGGGCTGCTGAATATTCAGCTCCTTATCCCTTATGTGGAGAGCATCCTGACTCAGAGTGTCCAAGGGGCTGGCTGACCGTGTCCAAACGTGTGGACTTGTATCAGAGGCTGCCCTTGACTTACTGTGCCAGGGTCCCCTCAATGAAGGGGATCCCTGCTGACTTAACGGAGGACTGCTGTCAACCATTACAAGTCTCCTGGCTTTGTGTCTGTGCTAAACAGCAAGACAGGACAGATGTGACATGTGCCTGGTAGCTGTGGATGCGGGAACAAAGTGAAAAGAATGCAAGGCATGGCAAGGCAGGGATACCATCAGCATCCAGGTAGGGTCAAAGTGAGCGAGTGCTCTAACTGCAAGTGAAGAGCACAGGGATGTAGCCTGGTCCAGTCCATGGGCTGGGAGCATGTCGCTGAGCACACAGTGTCCTTGCTGCAGCAGCACAATAAGTTACCGATGTAGCCCGATACGGAGATGTTATATGAGGACTCCTCCAGGCTGGGACATGTTGGATGCTAATGTTCATGGATGGGAGGTGCATGTGCCTGGTATCCATGGAGCATGCCATGAGATTTTGGTGCCCAGGGTCTGGATGTCGTTTGAAGAAGGAGGTGAGCTGAAATCTGTCAGGTGCTCGCTCTGGTTTTCTTGTCAAGGCTTTCGACATACAGTTTGATGGTAACTTTGGTAAGATAGAAATCTGAATATTAATGAGATAAGTCGAGCCATTAATAAGGCATTTAACAAGCAAGCACTGTTTAGCTGGCAACCCACTTCTGCGTGAGAAACCCATCATGCTGCTTGAGAAAAGCATAAGATGAAGTGAACTGCTCCTGCTATCGCGAGGCGCCTCGCAGGACTTCATCATAGAGACTCATCCAATTCATCTATGCTGACCAGATATCCTACATTAATCTAGTCCCATTTTCCAGCATTTAGCCCATATCCCTCTAAATACTTGCTATTCATATACTCATCCAGATGCCTTTTAAATGTTACAATCATTTCAGACTCCACTTCCTTTGGCAGTTCATTTCATACATGCACCACCCTTTGTATGGATAAAAAAGTTCCCTTAGGTCCCTTTTAAATCTTCCCCCTCTCACCTTAAACCCACGCCCTCTAGTTTTGGGCTCCCCTACCCTGAGGAAAAGGCCTTGCCTATTCACTGTATCCATTCCCCTCACGATTTTATAAACTTCTATAAGGTCACCCTCATCCTCTGACACTCGGGGGAAAATAGCCCCAACCTATTCAGCCTTTCCATGAAGCTCAAACCTCCAACCCTGGCAACAATCTTATAAATCTTTTTTGAATCCTTTCAGATATCACAATATCTTTTCTATCGCAGGGAGACCAGAATCGAATGCAGTATTCCAAAAGAAACCTAACCAATGTCCTTTACAGCCACATGACCTCTGAACTCCTATACTCAATGCACCGCAAATAAAACAAGCATACAAAATGCCTTCTTCACTATTCTATCTACCTGCAACTCCACTATCAAAGGAACTATGAACCTGCACCTCAAGTTCTCTTTGTTCAGCAACACTCCCCAGGACCTTACCATTAAGTGTAGAATTCCCACTCTAATTTGCTAAATGAAAATGCAACACCCCACATTTATCTAAACTAAATGCTGTCTGCCACTCCTCAGCCCATTTGCCCATTTGATCAAGGTCCCATTGTAGTCCGAAGTAACCTTCTTGGCTATCCACTACACCATCAATTTTGCTGTCATCTGCAAACTTATTGACCATACTTCTTTTATATAAATGATTTCGATGTGACTATATGACAAAAAGCAGTGGACCCAGCACCGATCCTTACAACATACCACTGGTACAGACTTCCAGTCTGAAAAGCAATCCTTCACCACCACCCTCTGCTTCCTACCTTCAAACCAATTTTGTATCCAAATGGCCAGTTCTCCCTGTATTCCATGTGATCAAACCTTGCTAACCAGTCTACCATGAGGAACCTTGTTGAAAGGCCTTACTGAAATCCATATAGACAATGTCCACCACTCTGTCCCAATCTTCTTTGTCACTTCTTCAAAGAACTCAATCAAGTTAGCGAGACACGGTTTCCCATACACAAAGACATGTTGACTATCCGCAATCAGTCCTTGCCTTTCCAAATACATGTAAATCCTGTCCCTCAGAATCCCCTCCAACAACTTATCCACCACTGGCATCAGGCTCACCAATCAATAGTTCCCTGGCTTTTCCTTACCACCTTTCTTAAATAATGGCCACATTAGCCAACCTCCAGTCTTCCAGCACTTCACCCACAGCTGTCTATGATACAAGTATCTCAGCAAGGGGCCCAGCAATCACTTCCTTAGCTTCCCACAAAGTTCTAGGGTACACCTGTTCGGGTCCCAGATATTTATCCACCTTTAATGCATTTTAAGATGTCCAGCACTTCCTCTTCTGTAATAAGGACACTTTTCAAGATGTCACTATTGACTTCTAAGTTCTCTAGCTTCCATATCCTTCTTCGCAGCAAACATTGGTGCAAAATACTCGTTTAGAATCTTAGCTGATCTTCAAGGGGCCCTATTCTCTCCCTAGTTACTCTTTTGTCCTTAACATATTTGTAAAATCCCTTTGGATTTTCCTTAATCCTATGTGCCAAAGCTATCTCATGTCCCCTTTTCACCCACTTGATTTCCCTCTTCTTGTCCAGTGCTGTCCCAAATCTAGCCGTAGCCCATGTCATTCAGGCCCCTAGAAGATTCCACAAACAGAAGCGAAAGGGCTTTTAAGGCTTTGTTGATTTGATGTAATCTGTAATAATAGTCAGATTTTGACTGTCAGACAGTTGCCAGTTTAAGGGGTGTATCTATTTGCGGGTATATTTGGCAGGCAGTGCCCTGGTATGTGCAGAATCACACAGAGAAATGGAATACATGGTTCATGTACAACTATGAAGGAGCAGGAACAGAAAGAAACAGCAGAAGGTAACAAAATCACTCTGTCTGAAGATACTTTCTGCAAAGGACTGGAGGGAATTGATGAGAGAGATAGGGATGGTATGGCATGGGAGAGATAAAAAAAAGAATGGGATAGGGATAGCTTGAGGGGAATGGTACAGGGATAAAGAAATCCACCTAGGTTGTAAGTTTTTATCATTGTTACTGATAAATTAGGCAAAAGTAACTTCTGACACTTGCCAGTGAATTATTTGACAGTACCTGCAGCAAACTTGTGTTTGATAAGCTGCGACTGAAATTAACTTGAATCATTCAGAAAAATTCCTGGATTGTAATATTAAATTTTATTTTCAAAGGAACGTACAATTTACAGGGGTTCATACTTAAAACATATGCAGCTAATATAAAATGCATTGTGTACATCGATTATTGGAATTGTAGCCATGGAGATGGACAGACTTGCAAATTTTAGAAGATCATGCACCAATACAAACAAGCAATACAAAAATGTACAATACAAACAAGCTCTACTGCCTATGGCATTCCAAAAGTAAGCTCATCTTTAACAATGTGGGGACCCTGAATTCAAGCCCAGCACAGCCCCTGTTGTTTTGCATGAGGAAATATTCTAATGAGACACAAACAAGCAGACATTTTTCAAACATATTCTGAACTTCCCAATGTTAAAAGGCAAAACCAAGGACATTACTGATGTGCTATACTTCATTTTCACATTGTTTGCTGAGGCCATCGCAGAGTTAAATTAACATTTTTCTCCCAGATAAACCATGCCCTCCAAACTAAAAGCAGCCTTGCATTGTGCTACAGAGATCGTACACAATGAAACAAATGGCATGCAACATAAAAATTTGTAGTGCAAGTCTACTGTGCTTTACAGTATGAAATTATTTCCATTAAAAAGGTCACATAACACCAGTACAGTTAAACAAAACATTCTATTCATGATATTAATAATTTGATGCTCAATAAAAAAGTTTATCCATTAAGTTCAAATTAACTTAAAAGATCAAATATAAGTTACAGCATCTTGGTCTCTTTGTCGGCCTTTGTTACATTTCATGTCTGTAAAGGATTACTCACATTCCAAGAAAGTCTGTTTCTAAAGCAAACGTCTGCATCGAACGGGTGACTGTCTGAATCAGGAAATGATACCCTGGAATTCTGCATGCTTGGGTGGAATGCTGGTTTTACACCTTACACAAAATTACATTCCATTTATTCCAATGGAGAGTAACATCTGTGTTACACCAGATCCTGTCAATGTTTCAAATGTCAGGTTTGTATAAAGCTGCTATATTAGACTGTACTATTGTCAGTTTAGGTTTAAAAGTATATTCTATACTAAAGGAGCATAGAAAAACATAATCAAACATAAAACTGCATTAAACCTCTTTCCTGTGACACTGCTATTCTGTTAAATAGAAGTTACTTTGCACATAAATACATAAAACATTCAGAAGTTCTGGAGTTCAGGAATGTTCTTGTAAAGGTCGAGAGAATCTGGATTTGAGAAGGCACTCCGCTGCTTCACATCCTTGCCAGCGATAACCTGCTTCACTGCCACTTCCACCTTCTTTCCACTAATAGTGTACTACAGAGGGAAAAATAAGGAGTATGAGAACAGTTTGTCCTTTTATTTCTGTCTATTTATGGTGGGTCAGTCCACCTTGTATCAAGTCATTCACTATCTGTGTAAAATAGGATTAAGTAATAAATGTACTGTCAGAACTGGTTTGAGATGATACTTGCACATACAGACAACACAAGGTGTGGCAGTCAGTACCATATGACTCTGGTATGACAAAGCATCATTCACATATATATGGAGACATGCAGGCACGCATCACAGCCTAAATCCCAACGAAAAATTAATGCTCACTCTTGCTGTTGCTAAAATTGTAAAAATTTTTTTTTTTTTTTAAATTGTCCTGTAATCATTGACACGGCAATGTCATTATAGTTCCATGGAACAAATACGCATCTATTCCATTTCAGGTTGACTTTCTTTTTGATATTAATTGTCTGATATACACATGCTCTATCCTAAGCAAAATTTAGGCTGTAGCCTATCACCTGATTTAGTATCACAGTTCCAGTCAAAAGTTCCAAATTTTGTTTAAATTATAGTCAAATTAGTTATTTCAGAGAATTCAGATCATTTCAAATTATAAGTGAAGTACCAAATGTGCGCACAACAAAATAGAACACAAAAAATTGAGATCCTAATTTTGAACTGAAGGCTTTAAAGACTGAAATAATTCACTGAAATTGGGCTATATAAATTGATTGGAGGTACTTTTTGTTTTAAAATGTTCGGCCAATTTTAATTAAATTACAATAAAGCTAAATGCAGATCAGTTTTATTGAACTTATTGCTCCAAGTTACCCATTAGATTAGGATACTGAACTGAACTAGATCTTCTGAAGAAATACTGAAGGCTAATTCTTCAGCTTTATTCTCTGGGGATTTATGCCAATTAGAAACATTATTTACATTAACATAAACTTATGGCTTGAAAGCAACCAATAAACCACCATAAACGATTTGAGGAAACCGTTTCCATCTGGAGAGACAACAGATTACTGTGACGGCCATTAAAAAATATTTCCACTTCTGTTATTCAGGGAGCATGTAGACATATTCATTGTCAATTCCTTATTCCTCAAGTAAATTGATGAAAGTAAGAATTGACTTATTGTCTACAATGAGCCCATCAAGTCAAAGAGTTCTGACAAAGGGTCATCTTAGTACAACTCGGTTTCTCTCTCTACAGATGCTGCCTGATTTGATTGAAATATAAAAAGAAAATGCTTGAAAATAAACTTCCACCTTCTACAGTCTTCCGTTTTATATTTTTTTTTAAATACTATGTATAACAGTTATGTAACTTAAATTCTTACTTTTTAATAAACTGTTATTTTAACAAAACAGGATCAATTGACATTCAACGATAACATGTACCGTTTCTTGTTAAAAAGGAATTATGTCCCAGTGAAAAATATACAAGAATATGATGGAAGTGGAAACGCTACTTTGAACCATCCCACAAAACCATATCTATCTCTATAGCCACAAATTTGTAACTTCATACATAACAGGAAATAGTTTGTTTGAAAGAGAATATGTAAAGCTACGCAAAAAGTACATGGACTTACTGGAATATCTTTAGTTTCCAGGATAAAGGCAGGTACATGTCTAGCTGATAAAGCCACTCGAATGGCATATCGTATCCTCTTCACCAGATCTGCTGTAAAAACCTGATTGTTGGCCATTTTCAAGAAAAGAATGACTCTTTCTTCACGATCCTTGTTGTACTGTGGGACACACAGACTGTCCATCACCTCCTCAAAGGCTTCAACTAATAGACAAAACAGAAGTTTCTTTCAGGCAGGGAAAAGAAAAAGACTGCAGTTTTTCCAATGGATGGACTTCTTAGCTACTGTACAACAGGTTTGATAAATATTTCAAATTCTGTACAATGTAGCTATGTTAGGACTGAGAAACAACAAACCATACCATGATTGCCTAATATTTTTGAATCTTGTCCCGTAAACCCCTAAGAAAGAAGACTTTGTATCAATGATTTAAAGTTGCGAGAACAGGAAGTGTTGTAACATGACCCACCATGGCTTCATGTGAGAGGTGTTAACTTTTAATGTGACTGGTATTACTGTGCTGTGCTTGTAAAGAAGTGAAAACACATCTTCATCAAGCACACTTCACACTTCAGTGAACTTTACTTTCTCCAAGAGATCAGAAATTCAGGGATTTTAAAATCAATACATTTACAGCACTATCCAACATTTTCATTTCCAACAATATTGCTAACCCCTACCTCAGGAGTAATAGGGTAAGAATTTCTCCCAAATTCTCCCAATCGCAACCCGTAACTTGTAAAAGATTGTCAGAAACCCCAGAAAAAGTGTAAACAGGTATAGAAAATCACTTACAATACAAGAAACGGGTCAATCAGACAAACTGGTCTGTATTAGGCTTTACATTTCACAGTAACTTCTTCCTACTTTAATTATCTCTTCCTTTCCCTTACATATGTGCTTTATCAAATTTCACTGCTGCGTTTCACAGTTTATGGATTTGTTACTCAGATTTCTTTGTGCCTGTACTCCATTTAAGAAGTGAGAGGCCTGCTTACTTATTCTGTTCAAAAATGTATGATGTTATGTTTCGCTTTATAAAATCTCATTTATCTTTATCTTTCCAATCTGCAAGCTTGTTTACATCTTTCTGTACTTTGATGTGGGCTTCCATAGTCACTACCACCCCATTTCCGTATCAACTACAGAACACATTGCTGAGCTGAAATAATTTATGAACAGGATCAGTCCAAAATGTAGACCCTTGCGTGGCATTATTTTCCACTTTGCCAGTCTGAGAAACTTCCCTTAACTCCTGCCTAAAGGTTTCGGTATTTTCAACGCATTCTGCGTTCTAGACCCTAATCCCCATACTCACGCCTTTGTCATGAGTTTCTTAATGGTACTTTACCAATGGCCTTCTGATCAGCCACATATACCACTCATTGCAGTGTTCCCTGCTCATTGTTACTTACAGTCATAGAGACATACACCAGGGACACAGACCCTTCTGTCCATGCTGACCCAATATCCTAAATAAATCCAGTCCATTTTGCCAGCATTTGACCCATATCCCTCTAAACCCTTCCCGTTCATATACCCATCCAGATGCCTTTTAAATGTTGTAATTGTACCAGCCTCCACCACTTTTTCTGGCAGCTCATTCCATACACGCACCACCCCCTGCATGAAAACATTGTCTCTCAGGTCCCTTTTAAATCTTTTCCCTCTCACATTAAACCTATGCCGTGTAGTTTTGGACTTCCCTATCCCAGGGAAAAGACCTTGGCTTTTCAGCTTATCCATGTCCCTCATGATTTTATAAACTTCTTCAGAGAATTCAACAGTGTTGGTTGAGCGTGACATATTCCTGACAGCAAGTCTTTTCTTAATTATGTTTTCCAACTTTAGATGATTTATTACATAATGGAATAAGAAAGTTTCTGCTGTCTTCTGTACCACTGGCATTAAGCACTGAAATGAAGGAAAATGAAACATCGAGTGGTTTTGATAATGCTCAGCCCATCTGCAGAGCCAGTACTATATGCAAGAGAGAAACCACCCCATTACATTGCCAAGGATTTCAAACCAGTTTCCTTCTGAACAGCTTATCTTAAGCCACAACAGATAAAAGGATAATAGCACTAGTTAACTGAAATACAACCTCAACACCAAACAGAAAAGAAAAGAACTTTACTTTTCAACCCCATTACATCTAATCACATGTGGGAAGGAAGCAAATTTGAACCAAGTAATCGGAGACAAAAATGTCCATTAAGGTCTATATTGGCAACATTTTTCCAAATGCAGTCAATGAAAAGGTGCTTAAAAATTACAAAATAGCTATTATTGAAAAACATTACATCAGATTTCCATACTTTAACATTACCAATGTGGTAGATTTCAGAGCTTCCAAATCTCACTCCATTTGGATTCAAAGTGCCATCACTACAGAAAGAAGAAACACATTTAGAGCAGTTGAAAGGTAAAATAAAACGCAGCTTTTATCATGAGTAGTTTTGAGAGATGGGGCACAAATTACAAAATGACTCTTCATCATTGTTTTCTAGGATATGTCACTAGAATTCTTTCAGGGTCAAGAATCCTAAGGCAAGTGATGGAATCAGGTACAAAGAAATGGATATTTTAAAGTGGATCAAAGATTTTGAAATTTTCAATCTATTACATCCACCAAAATTAATCAATGGCAATTTTACATCTAGTTTATACTCACAGTCCAATAGATTATTTCATTATCAGCTAAAATGAACTGACACCTATGGGGTCTATTACAAAATGTTGCATTTCTCAAACAAAGGAATGTTGCTAAAATTGTCCACGTCAGATCCGATCTTTGATTTAACTCAAACAGGAATTCTCTAATGCCTTGGACCATTGGCATGGTAAGATGGTTAGTAAAGCAACTCTAATTAAATAAGAGGAGTCTGTGTTGGTACTTAACTTGCAGCTTACCACGCAATATGCATAATGAAAAATGTTCACATTTCAAGAAACCAGGTCATAGGACTAAAGTTAAACTTTATGCCGACTGAACGCTCCTTTCACAAGCAGCCCCGGGTTGTGTACAATGGCAAGTTAGCATTTGCTCGGATTCTAATGTCAGTAGTTCACAACTTTGGCTTAACAACATATGTGATCGTAATCGTAACAGTGAGCTAATATGTATTATTAAACTCCCTGCTATGCTAGGCAGGGCTGAGGAGAGGGAATTGTGCATGGTGTTCATCTCCAGGGACCATATCTTGGCAGGGAAGCGAGGGGAACGGGCCTGAGCTCAGGCATCCCCCAAGCGTGATGACCAATCAGAGCAAGGTGATCCCCAAACATGGCAGAGGCAAAATCTTGAGGGGCTATCCTCCAATCACGGGCTGTTTCTTACCTGCGTTTGCTACTGATAGGCTTACTAATAATTGGAGGGGCCGTGAGTGATGAAGGAAAGGAGGAGGCTGTAAGGGGAGAAGGAAGGAGGTGAATGAGAAGTTTCAACATGTCAGAGGAATAGCCAACAAATTAGGAGGCAGGAAACGTTTACAAAGTTGTGAATACACTGATTCTCAAGCTTTCTTTCACTGGTTGAAGTTTTGCCCTTTCAGTGCCTTTGAAAGTGTGCACTTTCCCCTTTTTGCCTTTCAACAAGGACATTTGCAGAGTATGCCTGTCACAGGAAAATATTGAGCGAGAACAGCTGTTATTTCTTCATACAGGACAGAGACAAGAGATTTAAGCACTCTGTCATTGCAGGTTGGATGTTTCTCCTGTATTGTTCTCATACTGGGCTATGGCCACTTGGCTAGGAAGCAATCAAGTGTCAGTTACTATGCTGAGACCACAATAAAAGGGCTATTGAAAAATAATCAGTGATGGTCTGATTGATCAAACTGTATACACACACACACACACACACTTTCAGTTTAAGAAATAGTTCTAGTTAAGGCTTAATCATAAATAAACATCCATGAAAAAGTTGTATTAAAAACAGATGTCACACATTATAGATGTTATCTCTTCATATTAAGCTACGTGTCATGTGTCTAAGCAAGGATTATTACCTGACAGCTTAATTCTTGACTGCATATAAACATGTGAAGTTGTTATAGTTCTAGTCTGCACTTAGAATTAGCAAAGTGATAAAACAGTTTTATTCACATCACAGTACAAATATGCTCCCATCTTGCCAATTACACATTTTTGCATATATTTCAATCAATGTCAACTTCAAGTAAGAATATCGAATGCAGATGCTAACACAACAGAGAAAGAGAAGGAAATTCTGCAGTCAAAGACCACAAGAAACTGGTGCAGAATTAGGCCATTCAGCCCTCAAGTCCGCTCTGTCATTTGATCATGGCTGATATGTTTCCCAACCCTGTTCTCCTGCCTTCTCCCTACAACTCTTGATCCTCTTACTAATTAAGAATATATCTATCTATCTCTGTCTTAAAGACACTCAATAACTTGGCTTCCATATCTTCTTCAGCAATGAGTTCCACACATTCACCACCCTCTGACTGAAGAAATTCCTCCTTCTCTCCGTCCTAAAGCGTCTTCCCTTTACTACGAGGCTGTGCCGTTGGTCCTTGTCTCTCCTACATTGGAAATATCATCTACATGTCCACTCTATCCTGTATTCTGTAAGTTTCAACAAGATCTAACCTCATCCTTCTAAACTCCATCAATTACAATCCCAGTGCCCTCAACTGTGCCTCATAGGATAAGCCCTTCATTCTCAGGATCATTCTTGTAAACCTCCTCTGGTCCTCCTCCAAGGCCACACATCCTTCCTTAGGTACTGGCCCCAAAACTGATCACAATATTCCAAATATGATCTGACCAGATACTTCCTCATCTGCATCCAAAATGGGAGAAGGTACACTTTTAAATGGCATCCCCTAGATCTAAATGCCACATAGGCGAACATCTTCTCAGTGTCCACCCTGTCAAGTCCTCTCAGGGTTCGTTACATCTCAATAAGATCACCACTCATTTTGGTCAACTCCAATGGGTAGAGGCCCAAATTGCTCAACATTTCCACACAGGATTAAACCCTCTAATAGTCAGCATTTTAAAATGCAACTGTCTCCAAGTGTTAACAAGTCATAAAATAAAAATGACTTGTTCTAAAAATGGTCAAAAAACTGAGAGAAATCATTTTGCACTTGTACAAATTCTTTCTAAATTAAAGTCAAAACAATAACAATCTATAGTGAACATCCAAAATGTACAGTCTAATCAGCAAAGGACAATTCTACTCAAACTTCAATTGTTGATAAAGCAATGTATCGTACATAAACAGGCATTCACATACAAACTTTGTTCTCTCTAATAATTTTGACACAAGCTTTTCCTGATGCATCTTGATACGATTTCTCTAAATGTGGGCACATGAATTACAACAACATCAGGGAGTAAGAAAGCCCAACCAAGGGATTTAAAACTTCTCATACTCACCTTCGGCCAAGCATTACAATTCCTCCAGTCTTTGGGTTTATCTTGGCATAGTCACCATGGGCCCAAACACCTAGATATGGACATTAGTAATAATTATTATGGTAAATGTAGCAGCTGTAGTATTTTTCATGTTACGATCATACACCCATGGCAACAAATTATTAAAGTATGTTGCTGCTCCAGGGCCTTCATTATTGCAAATGAATGTAATGTTGGAAGCTGTGCATTTTATCTTTTTCTGTCAAAAATACAGCAAGAATCAACAGTCCACATCTGGCTATTTTTTAAAATTCATTTTGAGAGCTGTGGGTGTCGCTGGCTGGCCAGCATTTATTGCCTGTCCCTAGCTGCCCTGGAGAAGGTGGTGGTGAGCTGCCTTCTTAAACCACTTGCAGTCCAGCTGCCATGGGTTGACCCACAATGCCATTAGGGACGGAATTCCAGAATTTTAATCCAGCGACAGTGAAGGAACAGTAATATATTTGCAAGTCAGGATGGTGAGGGACTTGGAGGGGAACTTGAAGGTGGTGGTGTTCCCATATATCTGCTGCCCTTGTCCTTCTAGATGGAAGTAATCGTGGGTTTGGAAAGTACTGTCTGAGGATCTTTAGTGAATTTCTGCAAATAGTACACACTACTGTTACTGAATGTCAGTGGTGGGTACTTGTGGATGCAGTGCCAATCAAGCAGGCTGCTTTGTCCCTGGATGGTGTCAAGTTTCTTGAGTGTTGTTAGGGCTGCACTCATCCAGGCAAGTGGGGAGTATTCCATCACACTCCCAACTTGTGCCTTGTAGATGGTGGACAGGCTTTCAGGGCTAAAGAGGTGAGTTACTTGCTGCAGTATTCCTAGCCTCTGACCTGCTCTTGATAGACTACGTTTGTGTGGTGAGTCCAGTTGAGTTTCTGATCAATGATAACTCCCAGAATGTTGATAGTGGGGCATTCCGTGATGGTAACACCATTGACTGTCAAGGAGCAACGGTTAGATTGTCTCTTATTGGTGATGATCATAACCTGGCATTTGTGGGGCGTGAATGTCACTTGCCACTTGTCAGCCAAAGCCTGGATATTGTCCAGATCTTGTTGCATTTGGACACAGACTGCTTCAGTATCTGAGGAGTCATGAATGATGCTGAGCATCGTGCAATCATCGGTTAACATCTCCACTTTTGACCTTATGGAGGGAAGATCATTGATGAAGCAGCTGAAGATGGTATCAAGGGCTTGATATCAAGGGCTGTCATTCTCACCTCTCTGGAAATCAGCTAGTTTGGCCATGTTCAAACAAAGGCCATAATGAGGTCAGGAGCGGAGTGGGCTGATTCTTTAATAAAATCTATACAACCAGACCTCTGCATGGATCTCTAAATGGTCAAGTAAACAAAAATAAAAACACCACAATTGTACTTGTGTACGGCAGCATGTTTTGTATGCATCAAATAACACTCCCATAGCCATTAAGTGATTTGCTCATTGGGGGTGACTATACATGTCTTAATTTACATCTTAATAAATATCAAGAGACTTGTAATAAGAACAAATTGACACATGAACACCACCACTGTTCAATGTACGATATATTGATCCCATTTGCGCCAAGAAAAATAGCACAAGTTATGCATCCAATAAGATATTTTTCATATATATAGATAAAAAAAATTAAAGGGTGGGTGGGCATTAAAATTATAATTAGTCAACTGCCGTTTTATATGCTTTATAATCAACAGTGGGGTCTGAATTCATATTTAGCTAAATGTCATCAGATATGCTCCATAAATCTTAAGCACTTGTAATTCTAATGATCCTTCTAAGTGATTACACTACTTATGCATGGCAATAAATGATTGTTTCAGATTATTCTCATTTAGTAAATAAAGCATCATCCTGGGCATTAGCACAAAACTGACAGCAACTCGGAAAGACTGAAGAGGAGCGTTCAATAATTGTGGTATTTAGATAGATCAGGAGTTACCAAAGAATGCAACTCAACAGCCTTGCTTAATGGGCATGCAGAGCAACAGACTGATGTCAGAGAAAACTCCAAGATAAGTGTAAAAAAAAACTTGCAGCCATATTCCCAACAAAATATGATGGGAATTAGATCAATATAAAAGTTTTGTTTCCACCAGAAATTCATCCGACTGTCACAGTAAAATGGTAACAAATCTATTAAGGTCTATGCGCTGGCACTAATTGTAGCAGAACTCATCACTGAATTAAACCAAGTTCTAAATGATCTGTAAAAAGTTATCTCTGCTTATGGAACGTAAGGCATAAAGGAAAAAATAGGTCAAGTTTTGACAGTCTGGAGTTTCTGAATGTTCTGTCACAATTCAGAAGGTAGTAAACAACTTTTGGACATGGATTTTAATTTTGAGTCTGAATATTCTCTAGCCATTTGGAACCAGAAGAAATTTGAAGATTTGTTGAAGATATGTTTTTTAGAGATCAATGGTAGACTGTAATCTTCACAGCAGGATAGACATACTGCTCCTGCGTACGCAACAAGTTGTTGAGTGAAAACCACTGGGTAGGTGCAATTGTTTCGATTTGTGCAATTACAGGATAAAGTAAGCAAACTTCCATAAAAGAGCATTAAGTGCTCCTACATTCAACTGTTCAATGTGCACATCAGAACATGGAATAAAGAATTTTTTTTTATTTTTGATCTATTTTAGTCCTTGTATTTATATTATAGTTGGCATGAATCAAACAAACATACGACTTACCCAAGCTAATTTAATTGTCTTACCACAACTCTAAAATTTAGCTAAAAGGTCATCATTGTAAATTCTCCAATCCCATAATCAAACATGAACATTTGCCTGATTTAAAACATTAAAGTGGTCTAAAACCTACAGCCATGTGAATCCTCCGAAAAAAGGAAAGAGCTTGCATTTATACTGCATTATGACATAAGAAACGTCATAGGAAAATTTCACAGTTAACTACACTTTAAAAACGAAGTCACTGTCATAATGCAAAGAAAAGGTAATGTTAAGCAACCTGCTCATACCTGGGAATTTAGCAAAGTATGCCTTGTGGTATTTGATGCCACTTTCATCATTCCAGAAATGTGTAGGCTGACACGGAACGGGTATAGTGCACACCAGCTCTCCACTTTCCCCCCACAGAACTTTCCCTATGAACAAAAGAAATAAAACAACAATATTTCCATCCTTCCAGTATACTACTCCGTTTTCTGGTAACTTCCTATTAGTGTATTGCTGAAGACCATACATAAATGTTCGTTACTTAACTACAAAAGAGAGAAAAAAAAATTTCATTACGTCAGTCACATACATTCTACCACTTAAAGTTACTGTGTCCCATATTGCATTCATCTCCTTTGGGTGAAGCAGAACTAAACAGCTCATTTGTGAAGAGATGGAAAGAACAATCCAGACACTGCCAACAGGAAAAATCATTTTAATTAGATACTTTTGCCACACAACTATCGGCTAAACAATGAAACACAACTGCTGCAGCATGAGTCAAGTGACTATCATCAACAATGTAATGGGGAGGACGGAGGAGGGGAGGATGAAGATTAGTTCTCCCAATAATAAGGGATTCTCATTTACAATGACATTTAAGAGTTAACAACAGTAACATGCTGTTGGAGTCAGCTGCAGTGATTAATTGGGAGGGGCTGGCCAGTGGGAGATAAGCAGAATGCAAGTATTAACAAAGGGAGAGGAATAAACAGGAAGTGCCAGCATCTAATTGGATGGGAAGAAAGAATATCAGTTTGAGCTAGGGGAAGAATGGCAACAGAGTCAACTAGGTGAGGCTCAGCATGGATTTAGTGTCTTTGAACCCATCATTGGAGAAAAGAATTTGGATGGGGGCGGTGTAAATTATATTCTTTTAGAAAGTGAAGTGCTTTTGTGAAGGACGAAGAACAACTATTGACAGAGCTTACGGGGTAATCTATGGTCTGTTGAAAATTCCAATATTCAGGGACAAATAAATAAGCAAGCGTGAGCCTTTGTGAGAAGACTAAACAAGATAACCAAAATACTGCCCTTAATCTGAGATTGCAGAAAGGACTACAAAGGTTAGCAGGAAGATTGAGATGCAGGGGGTTCTCGAGTTCCATTAGCAGACCTTAAATGGCTTATTGCTCCACAATCAAAGGTGGGCAGAAGGAGAGATGATGTACTGGAGGCCTGAGGTAGAGAAACAAAGGGGTCAGGATCCAGGCTAGAGACAGTTGCAAGGGCAAAAGGGGGCAAAGTGGAGGAGGAATTTGAAGACCATCCTGAGGAATTTCAATTCAATTGATTATGAGGGGATGAACCAATATATATCAGTGAGGAGGGAAATAACAGGCAACTGATCTGGAACAAGGTGTGGGTGGCAATACTTAGGATAATTTGGGTGTAAATTGAGCAAGGCATGTTGGAGAACTTGTCCTTGGAGCTGAAAATTGAGTAGACAAGGATCATTTTAGTAGCAGGGTAGTTGCATAGAGATAAGTACTTTTGGAAAGATATAATCCAAGTCTTAGTGAAATAATATTTGACATTCTAATCTGGGTTTAACAGTCAAAATACCAAGATTGTTTGAACTAGACTTTACACAAAGATATAGAAGGTTCCTTTGTTGGCAAGGGTTGAAGGAGATTCAGAGATGACTAAGTATCAAGCCTCTGGTTTCTCAACTAGTCAGCCTTGTTAGTCTGGTGGCATTATAGCATTGAGGTCATCAAAGAAATGATAAGAGACAGAGATGGCATTATTAGCATAAATATAGAAGCAAATTTATCACCAAATGATAACACCAAAAGTAGCATTCCAATAAAGAGACGGGGGCTGGTGATCTTTGGGGAAAAAAAAATCTCAAAATGGCCAGATTGAGAGGTTCATACAGATGGTGATGTGGTAGGACCTGCCATCTAAAGGAAACCACATATATAGTATAGGGGCATAGAAGCCATTACAGCTGCACTGTAACGTCGTCATTGCAATACCTGTGCAGCACAACTGCAAAAGACATTTCACTCTGGCTGTGGAACTTCGTTCAAAACTATTAAATTACTGCCTTGAGCTATGTTAACGGAATAAAGGCTTGTACTAATCCAGCCTTCTCATAACTACTAGACATCTCAGAAAGCCAATTTTTGAAGTTTGGTCACGATTGCAATCGAGGAACCAATATGTATTCAGCAAACTGCAATAAACATCAATGTGATAGTTAAAAGACAACCTGGTTTAGTGACCTTAATTGAGGAATGCATACTACCCTATTGTTCATCAACATAGTGCAATGTAGGACCTATTTGATCCAACTATTAAAACAACAGTGACAATACAGCACATTATCAGTACTGACCTGGATTGTCAGCCTTGATTTTTGCACTCCAATCCTGGAGTGAGATTTGAACCTGGAACCTTGGGAGGTTCAGAGGCAAGATCTCTATCCACTGATCCACAGAACTGTGGCTCAACACAGACAACAGTGTGTAAATGCCAACGTTATTTAAAGAAACACTTATGAGACATTTCAGCCTCTCCCAGTTGTACCCAAGGACACTTGCTTCAAATTTTCCTGAAGTTCCAGCAGCCATAGCTGTCAAATTCAGAAAGTACACGGTCTAGTTAATCTCCTCTGACCAAGTTGTTATGCTTCACCGTCTCACCACCTCAATTAATCATTGAGTGAGCACAAAGCATTAACATGAAAGGAACAGATGATGTGAACAAAAGGTGGAATGGAATTCAAAGTTACTACACTAACTTTCGTCATTCCAAACTTCCACACCCATTCCTAGATTTCTTGCTTGTATCTCTCCTCTGTAGACTGGGATGGTGAAGTTCTGGCCCATGAAACATGAAATGATGTCTGTACCACCTGTAGAAAACGGGACAGAGAACGGATTTACCATTTTAAATTTTGTTCCTCTGACAGTCATAAATGTTGTAATAACACAAATGAATTTTCTCATATTAAGAATTGAAGCTCTACTTCCCAATCTCAGGTATTGTGCCCCTACCCACAAACACAATATTGAAAACACTATGAACTGCTCATACGTCTTATGGAAAATGGTCAATGACAGCGTGGCCATTCCTTTTTTCCAAATACTCTCATGTTGAGAGTTTAAACAGCAAAATGCGTCAAACAAAATGCTGCTTTACATTTGTGTGCATTCTAATAGTTGGTATAAGTATTAGCAAGGATTCTAATGCTGCGTGATTAGAGTTACAGCATGCAAATTGCACTTATTAGAATTATGAGATTTACAAGATTGCTATGTTTTGGGGAGTCTTTAAATTTAAAGGTAAAATGGAGGTTCTTGGAATAAAATCGTTAAATCTGTTTCTCTCTCCACAGATGCTGCAAGACCTGCTGAGTTACTTCGGCACAAAGGGTGACACGGTGGCTGAGTGGTTAGCACTGCTGCCTCACAGCGCCACAGACCCAGGTTTGATTCCACCCTTGGACAACTGTCTGTGTGGAGTTTGCACATTCTCCCTGTTCTGGTTTCCTCCCACAGTCCAAAGATGTGCAGGTCAGGTTGATTGGGCATGCTAACTTGCCCTGTAGTGTCCAGGGACGTACAGGCTAGGTGGATAAGACATCGGAAATGCAGGGTTACAGGAATGTTGGGTCTGGGTGGGATGCTATTCAGAGAGGTGTTATGGACTCGATGGGCCAAATAGCCTGCTTCCACATTGCAGGGATTCTATGATTCTTTCTATTTCTGTTTCAGGTCATGTTCTTAACACTGTCTGACAGCAAGTCCCACAACACTGTTGAGAATGTTGGGTCCTAAATTGTTCTGCTTTAAGCTGTTCAATTGGTTACAAAGTGGAAGACAGTTCAGCTCTCAAGGCTAGTTAATTATCACTTCTATCTAGATACCGGTTTTATGTGATTCACAATGCCATGGGGAAGGATGCAGAGGAAGTTATTATAAAGATCATATTACAGGCTTTCTTAGAGAATGTTTGGGAGTTTGTGGGAGAGTGTGAACAGTTAGAGGCAAAAATGGTCTTTATGGTTCACAACATAGGATTGTGGGTGTAAACTTACGCTCAGATTAACCAAATTCATGGGAGTTAAACTGAGGCTGGAAAGGTTGCCCAAATTGGGCTTACAGGGTGAATCCCCGTGGAAGAAAAAACTGGGAAGCCATTTAAGATTGCAGGTTGTCAAGCTGAGAAAAGAATTCAGAAATAAAAAGTCACTTCAGACTGATTCTGGAAAAGTGGAATGCCTGCATAAAGGGCCACAGTGTAATGCATACCTTTGATGTGGTTTTTCAGTTGAACTAAGAATCAGGAGTATTTCACTCTGTGATTTACTGTCTAGGAATTCTGTACGACTTTCAATTGTTAGTAGCCATCTTAAAATGCGAAATCATAATGGGTCAGTCTTTTAGCCATTAACTGGAAAATCGAATTTCTTTCTAAAAGTTATCAGTCCCTACGGGTAACGCAAGATACTGATGCTTAAACTGGCAAATACAATTGAACTGAAACGGAAACAGCTTTGAGTATGAATTGCAATAAATTATCTTGTGTTCGTTTAACTTTCATTTGGGCCAATTTTAAATATGACTTATACCAATAATTCACAAATTCCCTCAAGATCTAACCTGGTCTTTGATTAGCTTTACTATCTAAAGATCAGGTTTCTGTTTTTCCAAAGGAAGGTACAACAAAGAGGAAAGTGAATTAGGGTTAGCTGACCAGTGCTTTTGATTAGAATCGTACATTTATTTATGGACATGGATCCTAGACAGCATCAGAACAGCCTTGGTGGCTTCTATCTGATAAGTCTACACCAATTCCTGTTATTGAGGTACTTTTTTTTTAAAAGCATAGACTCAGGGTCCCATGAAAGCTCTCCTACCCATGAATTCATGCACTAAATGTAGTTTGCCACTTTTAGTAAAGGTAAAAAAGTGAAGGGAAAGTGTAAAAACATCAAACGAAAACATACAAAAGTAGCTCAGTCACCAGTTTGTGTGTCTGGATGGACAGACGGGGGTGAATATTCCTTGCTTCAAATTTCCAAGACACAATTAAGTAACATATTTTCCTTATTAGATTTCATCCATGCAGTATATAGCAAGGAGTTTATGAAGTTTACTGTGGTAATGAATGCAACTGTCACTCTTATTTTTCATTACATCAATCATAATGGAGAGCATTCAATGTTCATAGACAAACTGAGCGAGCACATCTGGCAAAACATGCACAATGGCACCACACAGTGGTACCCAACTGCAGCAACTATGCCCTAGTCACCATCGTTCCCCTGCCACGTTTTGTGAAGCAAGCTGATGTGCTCCATGGGAGGGTAAAAGAAAAATTCCACCTCAAGGCTGCACAAGACACGTTATAACTTTTACAGGAATATCATTTACTGAAAACCGCGAGCAGCACAGTCATTACACTCAACAGAAACATCTATTTGGGCATAATAACGTCTCCAAAACTAAAATTAAAGAAGAGAAATGGCTATTGGAAATTAACTTCTTGTTTTAAGGAAATAAACTTGCTGAAACATATTTTAGGTAATAGTCTACAGCAACTATTTAAATGAATCCTCTTGACACACTGATCAGCTAGTTGAGTTTCCTGCATACTTATACCTTTTGGGAGGAAGCCTTCAAGCTGTTAATTATCATCAGTCAAAATCTAGTGCTTTTTGTTCGGTTCAGCCAAACAAGTGCAATATTTTTACCATTTTACCACTTCGGTTTAATGTGCATTCTGTACTTCACACTTTCAAATCTTATTGTGGAATAGAGGAAGGTCAAAGGATGCTGCAAACAAAGAAATTGTTGAACTATCCGTCACAGCAAGACCAAATCAAATGCTCTGTTACACAACACAAACTAAAGTTAAACAAATAAATAACACCTCTGGTCTGATTTGGATTGACACAACTATTCAAATATTTGGATTGACAGCGAATGCATTGCATTTTAAGGAGGTACAATTTATTTGTGATGGAAATGGGACTGGGCAGCCTTCCACCAGCTTTGTGCTTTGGAGGTCTCATTTGGATTACAATGACGCCAGAGGTTGATGCAGCATCACAAAGTAGAGAACTGTCACTATCAATGGCTCATCTATTACTGCATCCCTGTTGAATTTACTTAATTAATTTTGCTGATCACAAAGTAGGTTTCTGAATATTGTTCAGCAACTGACTGTGAAAACTAGCATAAAGCTGGATAGCAATTTCCTGGGACACAAATATGATCAAATCATAGTCAACATAGGCTTCAGCCTTCCATGCACCTTCAGATGTACTGCATTGTGTGCAAAAATATAAAAAACTAAATTAATTTTCCCAATACATCTACAGTATCCATTGTAATGCTTGAACACACATTTCCAAATAAGGTTACAAAAATGTCCTGCAGTAATTGTATATGCCATCATCCCTGTGGAAAACTATTATTTCCCTGAGGTAACAAAATGATGCAAACATGATTAGTACAAATTATAAAAACAAATGTAAGCATGCCAGAAGAACAACCATTTATCAGTGTATTGAAAATGCATTAATTACCCCACAAAGGAATTCACTAGCTCACAATCCTGGAAAGGTTTCGGTACAGCAACTCAAAACAACGCATTCCAGATAGTCTATATGATTAATTTAATTTGCTTCAGAAAAATCACATAAAGCGATGTTCCAGTACTGTTAGCTGGTTTGCATTTATTTAATTATAGAACATTGTCAAGTAATGTCATAAATCATTTAAGTTGGAAAAAAAAGCATTGATTTAGTAGTGTAATTTACTGCCCTGAATTTACAGGGACCAACCTAATACCAGGAGTTGGAGATCAGGCATGACAGAAAGTGATTAAAGCTAACAGCAGAAAATGAAATGAGTTTTTAGGAGATTTAGCCATGTACCAGTTGATTCATCTTGCAGCTTTGAGGGGCCTGGCTTGTCCAAGTTGTTAAATAAACTCTTGTAACTGATAAAAGATTTTATTTTGTTGCAATTATATCCTTCACCCCTGACAGATTTCCATCCTTTACCACATCCCAACTCATGACAGTAGGGATTAATTAGAATTGGATTCTGCTGCAAATTTTCAGTTCAGGGCTCAATTGTGTCATACAGGGAACACAATTTTGTCGGAGTGGTAATTTTCTCCAGGCAGTAAAACAGTCCATTTTGCAGCCTTGTTAAAAATTTACAAAGCCCACCTTATACATCTTGGCAGATTGTGGATGGCAATCCACAAAGGGAATTAACCTCTGAACCACATTTCTGTGCCTCAAGAATCTTTTGCTCTTTTTCCCCACTGAAAAAAATAGTGCTTAAGCCTAGCAACGCAGAATTAATCGCATTTATTCTGTTAAGTGAACACTCTCAGATCTTGCAATTAAAAAACAAAATTAACTTTTACCCTGTGCTAAGGCTGGTGAAGATTTTTCTTCTACAAAACCATAGAGTAAGGTGTAATCAATGAACTGTAACAGCAGAAACTGGTCAACATTTTATACACCCTTGCTTTGACTCAGGAACAGTAGGCACAAGTTAAATTAGGCAGATAAAAAGCATTGGAGTAGGAGTAATATAGGCATCATTTATAACTGTGCATACGGGATCAGACATTTAGAATGACATCAAACAAGATGCTGAGGCTGGAAATAGTGTGAAATATAAACAAGTGATCAAAACATGCATCAGGTCAGTCCAGTGTAGAAAGAAAAGTTAGCAGTTCAGGTTTGCAACCCTCCAACAAAACTGAGAAAGGTTGGGAATATAATACAATTTGTGCAAGGCTGGGTCAAGGAGGGAAGGGCAGTCTGTGTTTCAGTGAAAGAAGGGAGAGATTGAATGGCAGAAGAGGTAGTCCTCCAAGACTAAA